TCTTCCTTCTTGCTGTTCTAAGATTTCTTCTTTTATCATGTTCTTTCTGTTTAGAGCAAATCCATTAGCTATTCTTTTAAGGTTGGTCTGATAGTGACAAATTCTCTTAGTTTTTCCTAATCTGAGAATGTCCTGATTTTCCTTTCATTCCTTTTTTTTTCCTTTCATTCCTAAAGGATGTTCTCATTAGGTATAGGATTCCAGGTTAACAATTCCTTTTTTTTCACCATTTAAAAAAATATTGTGCCAATTCCTTTTGGATTCCATGACTTCTGATATGAAATCTGCCATTATTCAAATTGTTATTTCCCCAAGATATCATTTTTTCTGGCTGCTTTCAAGATTTTTTTTGTCTTTAGTTTTCAGAAGTTTAATTATGATGTGCTTTGGTATGGATTTTTTTGAGTATATCCTGTTTGAGACTTTCTCAGCTTCACGAATCTGTGGCTTTGTGTTTCTTGCCATATTTGGGAAAATTTTAGTCATTATTTCTTTGAATTTTTTTTAAGTAAGCTCTTTGCCAAGGATGGGGCTCGAACTCACAACCCCAAGATCAAGAGTCATGTGCTCTACTGATTGGGCCAGCCAGGTGCCCCTCCTATTTCTCAAGTCCTACCTTTTTTCTCCTGAGAGTCTCCTTCTAAGACTCCAAAAACACATATGTTAGATCTTTTGTAATAATCGTTCAGGTACTCAAGGCTCTGTTCATTTTTAAAGATCTGTTTTCTCCTGGGACACGTAGGTGGCTCAATCAGTTGAGCGTCCAACTCTTGGTTTTGGCTCAGGTCTTGATCTCAGGGTTGTGAGACTGAGCTCCATATTGGGCTCTATGCTCAGGCGGGGAATCTGCTTGGGATTCTCTCTCTCTTCCTCTCCCTCTGCCCCTTCTCTGCTCGTGCTCTTTGAAATAGATAGATAAATAGATAGATAGATAAATCTTTAAGATTTATTTTCTCCCTCTGTTGCTCAGATTGGGTCATTTCTATTGTGTCATCTCCCAGTTTATTGATTCTGTCCTCTGTTACCTCTGTCCTTCTGTTGAGCTCATCCTCTAAATTTTCTATCTCGGCAATTGTATTTTTCAGTTTTAAAATTCCCATTTTGGAAATATCAGAAAGGGAGACAGAACATAAAGACTCCTAACTCTGGGAAACGAACTAGGGGTGATGGAAGGGGAGGAGGGCGGGGGGGTGGGGGTGAATGGGTGACGGGCACTGAGGGGGGGCACTTGACGGGATGAGCACTGGGTGTTATTCTGTATGTTGGTAAATTGAACACCAATAAAAAATTTATTATAAAAAATAAAATTCCCATTTTGTGCTTCTTTATATTCTCGAATTCTCATTTGTTTCTATTTTATATAAACTCTTATTTGTTTCAAGTGTGTTCATAACTGCTTGCTGAAGCATTTTTATTACAGCGACTTTAAAATATTTGTCAGAGAATTCTTACATTTCTGCCATCTTATGTTGGCAACTGTTATTGAACTGTATCCTCAAAACACAAAGATGTGTTGATGCCTTCATCCCCTATTACCTGTAAATGTGTCCTTATTTGGAAATAGGGTCTTTGTAAATGTAATTTCATTCAGATGAGGTCATTAGGATGGATGGATCCTAATGAAATATGACTGATATCCTTATAGGAGGTAGATTTGGATGCGGACACGGATAATGCTATGTGATAACAGAGAAAGAGATTGGAGTGATCCCACTGTGAGCCAAGGAACTGATAGCCACACCAGAAGCTAGAGAGAGGCCAGGAAGGATTCTCCCCTAGGGGTTTCATTATTCTTTTTTTTAATATTTTTTAATTTTTATTTATTTATGATACCCACAGAGAGAGAGAGAGAGGCAGAGACACAGGCAGAGGGAGAAGCAGGCTCCAAGCACCGGGAGCCCGATGTGGGATTCGATCCCGGGTCTCCAGGATAGTGGCCCGGGGCCAAAGGCAGGCGCCAAACCGCTGCGCCACCCAGGGATCCCTCCCCTAGGGGTTTCAGAGGATGTGTGGCCCTGTCAACACCTTGGTTCTTGATTTCAGACTTCTAGGCTCCAGAACTATGAGACAACAAACTTCTGTTGTTTTTAAGCCGCTCCATTTGTAATAGCATGTTATGGCAGCCCAGGGACACTACTACCGCATCTTTTTGTCTTTTTCAATCAGTTTGAAAGCCACTTGGTATGATGAGTGACTTTTGGTTGAAACCTCAACACTCTGGGTGCTATGTTGTAAGACTTTGTATCCTATTTAAACCTTCTGTTTCATCTGGCCTCCTGTGACACTTCTGTCAGAGGAAAGAGGAGATGGCGCCATGTTACTGCAGAGTGGCAGTGAAAGTCCAGGTTACCCCCTGGGTCTCCTTTCCCACCCAGGAGGGGCAGCTGCTTGGTGCTGGGAGTTCCAGCTCCTCACTCTGGCTCTACTGACACGTCTCTGGCTGGGAAGTGTGGGTGACGGTCTCCACATGGGTTCTAGTGACACCTTGAGGGGAGGTGGCCCCATTACTGAGGGGCAGTGCTAAATGTCTTCACTCTCCTCCAAGGCTCCTCTCCCACCACCATGCCAGGAGGTCTGGGGTGCCTCATTACAACCTTGCGAGGGCAGATATCTAGGCTCCTCCCTTGGCCTTTGCTGGCATAAGTGGGGATGGTGCCACGACTTTTCTGTAGTGCATGGCTGGAGAAAAGCAGTTATTGTCTAAATGTTTTCTGTCACTCGTGGCTGTTTCTTTTCTGGTCTTTGGCTAAAGAGAGCAAACTTTTCTTGGGCCTCTTTTTGGTCTGCATTCGCTGGCAGTTCCAGGTTGTGGGCCTCCGCACTTCTGGGTGGCCACCTTCTACAGCTCCAAGCATACGGTACACGAGGCCAAAAGAAACCCAGGGAACTCACCACTGTATTGTTCCTTGCATCCTAAGATCCCTAAACAATATACCTTTTCTCTCCACCATTCAGAGCCTCTATATGCTTTGTTTGTTTAAGTAATCTCTACACCCAGGCGTGGGGCTTGAACCCAAGACTCAGAGATCAAGAGTCACACGCTCTAATGACTGAGCCAGCCAGGCATCCCTGTATGTTTGTTTTATATACAATGTCAAGGGATATCAGTTGTACTTCATCAGAGAAATAGCAGAAAGTTCCATCTTCTAGACAGCAGAAGTCCTAAACTTCCTTTTAAAGTCTCCCCCTTCCTCTCCCTCTGCCCCTCCTCCCCCACTCATGCTCTCTCTCAAATAAATACATAAATAAAATCTTTTAAAAAAATAATTAGGGGATCCCTGGGTGGCAGCAGTGGTTTGGCGCCTGCCTTTGGCCCAGGGCGCGATCCTGGAGACCCAGGATCGAATCCCACATCGGGCTCCCGGTGCATGGAGCCTGCTTCTTCCTCTGCCTGTGTCTCTGCCTCTCTCTCTCTCTCTCTCTGTGACTATCATAAACAAAAATTAAAAAAAAAGAAATAGTTTAAAAAAATAATAATTAATAGGGATGCCTGGATGGCTCAGTGGTTGAGTGTCTGCCTTTGGCTCAGGTCATGATCCTGGGGTCCTGGGATCAAGTCTCACATAGTCTGCTTCTCCCTCTGCCTATGTCTCTGCCTCTCTGTGTCTCTCATGAATAAATAAAATCTTTTAAAAAATAATAATTAATGAAAACAATATAGACCGAAGGTAAAAATACTTCCCCACTCTCAGCCCCCTTCAGAATCATGAAAATGGGCAGCCTCAGGGCTTGAGGATGGCTCTCTAAGGAAATACTAGCCTTGGCTTTACTACGAGTCACTCAGTTGGGAAACTCCAAATACACATTTGTAAAAGAGTGTTTTGTGCTTCTTATGTTCATTCTTATTCATCGTGGGTTTTTTTTTTCAAACTAAGCTCCACAGAACACCCTCCTCAGGGTCACCTTGAAATGCTTAATAAAAAATACATTCAGACCTGCTGAATCAGAGACCAGGATTGGAGACTTGGAACCTATATTTTCACAAGCATCCTTTGTCCCCAAGAGATCCTGATGTGCCCTAATTTATGAGAACCATGGGTCTAAGCCAGTGATAAAATTGCTGCAGCAGACCAGGCCGAGGATGAAGCCTTATAGTAGCCCTGGACATTATATTTTGGGAGCTATTAATCATTAATCAGGGCTCTCTGGGCAGACTGGATCAACCAGTTACTAATCCCCCTCACTGGCCAGTCACAATTGTGCTGCTTTGCACAAATAAGATCTTGAAAGGCCTCAGCTAGTGTTGTGCCAGATTTCACGTGTTCTCTATCTACGGCAGCTGCCCTGACCTATCATTCTAGTAAACCTCTCAAAGATAATGAAAGTAGTCTGACAGGATTTGTTCTCAGGGAAATCATCCTGGGTCCACTGAACAGAAACCATGCTTTAAAAATAATCCATTTTAGATTGTCTCCTGGAATCAACATCAAGCTCCCTGATCTGTCTCCTTCCACTTGCATTTCTTTCCTGTTTTGAAACCCATGATCTGCATTTGCCTCTCCTCAGGCTTCTAGCATGTCTCCTCCTCTCCACATTGATGAAAACCAAAGGATTCCCGACAGTGGTTTAAAGGTCTCATTCTCAGGCACTCCCAGTGTCTGGATCAAACACTTGAAGAACCTGGTTAAAGCAATGAAATACTTAAAAAAAGATTTTATTTATTTATTTAAGAGAAAGCAAGCATGCAAGTGGGACGAGGGGCAGAGGGAAAGAAACAAGCAGACTCCCCGCTGAACAAGGAGCCCAGTGCCCTGAGCCCATGACCATCAGATGTTTAAATGGCTGAGCCACCCAGGCACCCCAGCAATGAGACGCTCTTAAAAACCAAGTTGATGATTTATCCATCCTGGGCTTTTCTTTCTTCAGCACTGTTTGGTCTAGACTGTTACTCTTCAAAGTGTGATTGGAGGACCAGCTGCATCAGCATCACCTGGGAACTTGTTAGAAATGTAAATTCTTGGGCCCCACTCAGACTTACCAAATCAGAATCTCCGTTTTAAGTGCTCACTTTGGCAGCACAGACACTGAAATTGGGAGTGACAGGGAGATTAGCATGGCCTGCCACAAGGATGACACGCAAATTCATGAAACATTCCATATTTTTTTTAAAAGAATCTCGTTTTTAACAAAATCCTGAGGTGACACACATGCATGGTAAAGTTTGAAGAGCACCGGGCTAGACTTTTTAGTATGAAAATTTCCCCTTGACAGAGAATACAGGTACAAAGTGAAGACAGAAAAAATAAAACAACAACAACAAAAAAAAACAAAGTGAGGACAGAGGAGCTCTGGTCTCTCTTTATCATTCATCACTATGTCATGGTCAATTGTATGTTTTTCTCGAAAGATTTTCTTCTTGCTCTTGACATAACTTATAAAAATCTCTTTTTTTAATAAAAAATAAAAGACTTTATGAGAGACACACAGAGAGAGGCAGAGACATAGGCAGAGGAAGAAGCAGGCTCCCTGCGGGGAGCTCGTTGCAGGACTCAATCCCTGGGCCCCGGGATCAGGCCCTGAGCTGAAGGCAGATGCTAAACTGCTAAGCCACCCAGGTGTCCCTATAAAAAGCTCTTTCTGTTGCCCTTACTCTGTGGTGTTAAGTCTTCTCAACACTGTTTATGCAGGTCTATACCAGCCTCCTACATTTATCATTGGCTTTACATGTTCCTCTCCAAATTTAACCTGCTAAGAACTGAATGTAAAGGATGTTTCTTCATCATGAATCTACAAGGCACAATAATTCTCTGTATAGAAAAATCTGTTGGAGTCCAGGCAACAGACCAATCAGAAGAAGTTGCTATATTTCTCTTTCTGCATAAACCCTCAAGCTACCCTAGATTATCAAGAGTCCCTAAGACTGGCCCCTGGAAGATCTTGTTATTTATTCCAGAAAAGGGGACTATTCTACCCTCTTACACTGTTGGTGGGGGGTGCAAGCTGGTGCAGCCACTCTGGAAAACAGTGTGGAGTTTCCTCCAAAAGTTGAAAATGGAGCTACCCTATGATCCAGCAAATGCACTACTAGGCATTTAACCCAAAGATACAAGTGTAGTGATCTGAAGGGACACCTGCATCCCAGTGTTTATAGCAGCAATGTCCACAATAGCCAAACTATGGAAAGAGCCCAGATGTCCATTGACAAATGAATGGATAAAGAAGAGGCTATGTATATGTATATGTATATATACACACACACACAGTGGAATATTACTCAGCCATCAGAAAAAAGAAATCTTGCTATTTGCAATGATGTGAATGAAACTAGAGTGTAATTATGCTAAGTGAAATAAATCAAAGAAAGACAATTATCATATGATTTCACTCATGTAGAATTTAAGAAAATAAACAGAGGAGCATAGGGGAAGAGAGGAAAAAATAAAACAAGACAAAATCAGAGAGGGAGACAAACTGTAAGAGACTCAATCATAGGAAACAAACAGGGTTGCTGGAGGGGAGGGGATGGGGGATGGGGTAACAGGATGATGGGCATTAAGGAGGGCACATGATGTAATGAGCACTGGGTGTGATGTGCAACTGATGAGTCACTGAACTCTACTGCTGAAATTAATAATACAGTATATGGGGATCTCTGGGTGGCGCAGCGGTTTGGCACCTGCCTTTGGCCCAGGGCGCGATCCTGGAGACCCGGGATCGAATCCCACGTCGGGCTCCCGGTGCATGGAGCCTGCTTCTTCCTCTGCCTATGTCTCTGCCTCTCTCTCTTTCTCTCTCTGTGACTATCATAAATAAATAAAAATTAAAAAAAATAATACAGTATATGTTAATTCATTGAATTTAAATTTAAAAAAAGATGTTAGTTGAGAGATGCTTTCTAAAAAAAGAAAAGAAGACTATTCCACCTGTTGTTCCCAGTTATATATGTTTCTTAGTGAAGTATCTATATAATAGTAAGACCACATATCACTTTAAAGTGCCTCCCATACCATTTATTTCTGGGGGGCCCACCCTATTTTCTTTTTTTTAAGATTTTATTTATTCATGAGACACACACACACAGAGAGAGAGAGAGAGAGAGAGAGAGAGAGAGAGAGGCAGAGACACAGGCAGAGGGAGAAGCAGGCTCCATGCAGGGAGCCCGATGTGGGACTTGATCCCGGGACTCCAGGATCACACCCTGAGCCGAAGGCAGACGTTCAACCGCTGAGCCACCCGGGGGTCCCCCCACCCTATTTTCTTACACTGTTCCAGCTTCCATTTAACCACATCTTCTGCTTGCAAAGTCACTTACAGAAATCTGATTACTTAGGGTCTCTAATGAAATACCACTGCCCATGCTAATGTGCTTTCTGGAGCCCCTCTGGAAGCTTGCCATCCTTGGGATGCCCAAATGGTTCTGGATTACAAGGGTGTCCTCCCCAGTTCTGTGCCATATTCTGTCACCTGGGTTTTGAAATGGGTCTGCTTTTGTTCAGCCTCTCGAAGTCTCCCTGAGACAGGTCCAGCAACTCATGGTTCTCATTTGCTTCACCACAGAAGTTCCAGGTCTAGAAAAGGACCTGAGGCCATTAGTATACTCTTAGGGCTTCTCCTATCTTTCTCTACCTCTCCTCACTACCAAAACCTCTTTTCTTCTCTCATGGTGACAAAGCAAATGACCTCACAGAAAGGAATGGATGCAAACACAGTGATGCGTGTGCGGGGGAGAGGAAGGAGGAAGAGAAACTATACCTTAGTAGTAACAGGCTTCCAGTGAAGTCATTCAAAAGTTCCCAGGTATCCCTGCATTTGTTCAATTTCCCCACATTTAGGGGGTTTCCCTGATAGCTTTCTAATTATTGATTGCCAATCCAATTCCTTAATGGTCAGTGAACATACCCTGGGTTATTTTCATTCCTTTCAATTTCTTGATGGCTCAGCATATGGTTTCTCATGGTCACTGCTCCACACTCAAAAACAATATGTATTCTGCTGTTGCTAGGGAAGAGAGCTATCAATATCCATTAGGACAAGTTGATTGATGGTGTCTTAATGATTATCTACTTCCTCTACTGATTACTGAGGAAGGAGTGTGAAAGTCTCCAAATATAAGTGTGGATTTGTCTATTTCTCCTTTAAATCCTACCAGTTTTTGCTTTACATATTTTGCAGCTCTGTTATTAAGGTACATGCACACTTAGAATTATGCCTTCTTATGCACTGACCCTTCCATCTTTACAAAATATCTCTCTGTATCTCTGGCAATATTCCTCGTATTAAACCTACTTTATTCGATGTTATACATATCATATATTATATATTATCATGTTATATATAAAATAAATACTATATAGAAATATGCATATAGTATATATCTAAAATAGGATATAGTATGTATCTAAAGTAATATACATTGGGGCTCCTGGGTGGCTCAGGTGGTGTGTGATTCCGGGGTCCTGGGATGGAGTCCCACATCACGCTCCCAGCAGGGAGCCTGCTCCTTCCTCTGCCTCTGTGTGTCTCTCATGAATAACTAAATAAAATCTTTAAAATAATAAAATAATATACATTTCTTATCATTAGTGTTTGTATAGTACATATTTTTTCCAACATTTTACTTTAACATAAGTAACTGGGTTTCTTTTAGGCAGTCCTTTTTGTTTGTGTCAGTCTGGCAACTTCTGCCTTTTATTTGGAGTACTGTCTACATTTACCCCACTGCATCAGTGTAGTATTTTTTTTAAGTAACTCTATGCCCAACATGGGGCTCAAACTCACAACCCAGAGATCAAGAGTCACAAGCTCTACTGAGCCAGCCAGGCACCCCCATTTGTGTAATATTGACATGGTTGTTTCTGAATTCCTCTTCAAGAGGTCACCATCAAAAAAAAAAAAAAAAGGAGGTCACCATCAGGGAACAGCATCCCTGGGCTCCCTAGTGTTGATTAGCTTGCCCTACAGAAAGGGTCACCAGAAAGCAATGGTTCTAAGAGTACCTCTGATATAACTGCAAGGTCAGGAACACTTAGGAGATATACTATTGCCGTATTTACCTAGGACCCACCTAGGACCATCCTCCCAAGATAGGACCATCAAAATAAATAAGCAAATAACAGTAATGAGAGCTACCCATTATTGAGTGTGTACTGCAGGCCAGGCAGTGTTGGAAGGCCTTTATGAAAAAAACCTCATAGAACCCTCACCACCTCTCTAGGGAAACTGGGAGAAAAGTTTAAAAATATATAAAGTATCAGTCCAGGAGAGTCAACATCCACTAAATGGAAGAAAAACAATAACAGGGAAGAAGTAATGAAAAAGAAGAAATTTTCTTATAACCAGAAGAAAGATTTTAGTTTGAAAAAAAAAAAAACACTGAGTGGCAAGTACAATGAAAGAAAAGACGACTTGCTTCTAATAATATATCCTTGTGAAGTCTAAAGATACTGAGAGTAAAGAGAAGGTCCTTAAAGCTTCTAGAGGGAGGGAATCCCTGGGTGGCTCAGCGGTTTGGCGCCTGCCTTTGGCCCAGGGCATGGTCCTGGAGTCCCAGGATCGAGTCCCACGTTGCACTCCCTGCATAGAGCCTGCTTCTTTCTCTGCCTATGTCTCTGCCTCTCTCTCTCCTCTGTGTCTTTCATGAATAGATAAATAAAATCTTTTTAAAAAAAAAAGCTTCTAGAGGGAAAAAAAAGTCTACAAAGAAATAAGAGTCCTCCTTGGCAACATTTAGATGCAAAAAAAAAAAACAAAAACAAAAACAAAAACCCACTAGAACAATATCTGTAAAGTTTTTTTATAATAAATTTATTTTTTATTGGTGTTCAATTTGCCAACATACAGAATAACACCCAGTGCTCATCCTGTCAAGTGCCCCCCTCAGTGCCTGTCACCCATTCACCCCCACCCCAATATCTGTAAAGTTTGAGGGAAAATCCCTTTGAACTTATAATTCTATATTAGTTAAATATAAGAACAAAAATAGAGTTTTTTAGGCATGAAATTCTTCAGAAACTTTACTTCCCAGTTCTCTTCTCTGGAAAAACTAATTACTTGAGGATGTGCTCCAGCAATCAAAAAAAGAGATCCACAAAAAACGAAGGCCTGGGCTCTAAGAAGCAAAGACACTAACCCAGGAACGCGATGAGAAAAGATCCTAAAATGGCA